AGTCAAAATGCGAACAAATTACTTCTATCATCTATGTCTAAATTATACAATGTTCAAGTTCAATATACTTTTCCTGGCTATTTCGTATGACTGATTATATTCTTTGGGTCTTTTATCAGACATAGCGTAATTTAGAAATGTTAGTTCATTGTGATATATTGAATAAAAAGTGAACAAATTTTCTTTCGTAATTATAGACGTAATGTTTAGCTGAATGTTCGTAAATTTTCAGAATGACATAAAATATGTATCGAACCATTGCTTGGTAAGATATCGAGATATGTATTGTATCATTTCATAATGTATCTTGGGACCACTATTGTACACATAGTTCTAAAGAGTAGCTCTTGTAAAGTTATTCCCGTTACTCACTAAATTCATGCACATATACATTTGTGAAGCTATCCAGATGATCGTCAAAACTATTTGAAATGATGAAAATTGAAACTACAATCAACAGGTATCAATGATATTCAATGATAATTGGTATAAAACAACCAGAACAACGGCAACGCCAAAGCGTAGCGAATCCCATCGAACAGCCATGGATGGCATTTTTACAAACAAAGGATATAGCAAAAATGGCAGCCATTTTTCAAAATGGCCGCCTTCTACCAAAAGTGTCATTAGACAGTGTGCCATGCTTACAGTATTCACATACCAAATATGAACAAAATCGCGTCACTACTTGTCGAGTTATAGTAAAATACGTTAAAATGGCGGCCATTTTTCAAACTTTTTTTCAAAATGGCCCCCTTCTACCAAAAGTGTCATAGGACAGTGTGTCATGCTTATAGTATTCACATACCAAATGTGAACAAAATCGCTCCACTACTTTTCGAGTTATAGTAAAATAGGTTAAAATGGCGGCCATTTTTCAAAATGGCCGCCTTCTACTAAAAGTGTCTTTAGACAGTGTGCAATGTTTATAGTATTCACATACCAAATATGAACAAAATCGATCCACTACTTTTCGAGTTACAGCAAAAATCGTAAAATAACGAGAAAATACCGCCATTTTTCAAGATGGCTGCCATGTGCTTCTTAAATATCTACATTTCTAGCTTCATTAATGTCCTATATAATTTTTTTACATCTAAAACATATTGCTATTACAGTTTTACATATTGCACCTAAATTACTGTAAATTCGGCACTAAAATAGCCGCCATTTTGAAATGAGCGGCCATTTTGAAAATCGGCTTTCGAGCAGAACTTCTACTCCCATAGGGTATATGTGTACAAAATATGAATAAAATCGGGCCAACGGTATTTGAGTTATTGCCCGGACGGACGGACGGACGGACGTACGGACGGACGGACGTACGGACGTACGTACGGACGGACGTACGTACGGACGGAGGCGTTCCCTATATCCCTCCGAACTTCGTTCGATGGGATAATAACAGAGCTTTATTGCAGGTCAACAGAATATTGAATCAATATTTCAAGTTACCTAGCTTGGTCCTCCCACCAGTGTGTAATGCTACATGTATTCCACCAAAAGCCTGCTTCAGTTATGTATGTCCAAAAGAGAAACCAAACTGAATTTGATACTGGATACAAGATAGCAGAAACACTGGTTAGGCCAAGGGATGTCCCATTTGAGAATTACAACCAGATTTATATTTCCTTCTGAATTGATTCTTTTAAAATATATGTAACTTTAGCAATACTAGCATGCAACATAAGTTTTTATATCGTTTCTTCTAAATTATACTGATTGATTGTAATTTCAAGTTTCATGCACATAAAGAGATTTCAATCTGAAATGGTTCAACCTTGGATTGTAAAATATATCATCCAGTTACCAAGGCAACCAAAAAGACCGTTATTTTTCCTGAACTTGAAATCCTGTAAGTAAATATACTTCATAAGTTGATCATATGATATAAATGAATCAAATGTTTGTGACTTCTACAGCTTTTACAACTAATGATAATAAAAAATAGTTTATAAATCTAGGTTATGCTTGTTGTATAATGTTCAATTTTTTACTAGTTTTGTGTTTCTAGGAAATGGAACTTTTGTACCTTGCCAAATCTAATAAAAGAATAATTATTGTCACAAAATTAGTCTGGTAACCATAGCCAATTTTGTACCAGCCAAAAATCTTAGTTTCGAAGCCTGTGATGTGAGTTATTTATAGAATTCTAAAAATTTAGTCAAGTCAGTAGGAGCCCAATGTCTGCTGCTTCGCTGAGAACATGCAGGCCCAGGAAAAAGAGGTAGTTGTTGACCGGTACTCTTTATCTACATAAACTTACTACTACTTTTCATTAGTCATATGATCTATAGGCCTGTATATTTTGAGGTATAAGAGAGGTATTCAAAAGGGCTTTGAACAGATTGACAGACCCGAAGGTAGACAAAATGATGTCAGGTTTTTAGCTAGACCCATCAGATTTTGGAAAACAACAAAGTGGATTTAAAAGGAGTATCGGACAAGTATCCCCACAACGACTCTTCTAAGTGATAAGAGTAGTCAACTACCATGGGCAGGGCTAAATTTTGAGTTGGTACACCCACTTGAAGATCTCTGATTGCATGGTCGAAGGCCGCACATTTTGGAGGGTCCGGGGGTCTGTTTCCCTGGGAATTTTTTTTATAGAAGACATTATTTGATGCAATCTGAGCGTGTTTTTCAACTTGAAAAGTTAATTTTATTCTGATAAAACTAATGGTTAAATATACATAATACATCACTTCGAGAGCCATGTTAGATTTTGACACTTATGGCTCTCAAACGGAGAAATGGACAGCTGAATAATAGTGACCTTTGATCATTATCATCCTACCGTTCAAGTATTTGAGCACTGAAGTACTTCCTTTTCGATCAAGACTTCTAATTGTAAGTCGAGTGAATGTTTTTACTGCCAAATTTAAATATGGCGTTTTCTGCTCGGACATATTCGTACATCTTCAGAAGTTGTCCGAACCTATCTCATTCTCAAAATTCATTTCATTTGTTACGTATCTCGCTCCTAGCCAACCGCCATATTGGAAATATGTAAAAAAAAAGCGTTCACTCGATGAAAAATTTACAAGTCTTGATCAAAAAAGACGTATTTCAGCGCTCCAATACTTGCACGGATTCATAATACTGATGTTAGACACAGTAAGGGCCCAAAAGTAAGCCGCTGAAATCTTTATTGATGTTTTAAAGGTCACTATTGTTCAGCTGTCCAAGTGCGCCGTGGGAAAGCTAATACATCAAAATCCACATACTACTTTTTGCAAGGCCTGTCTTCGTCGCTAACATGCTAAATATAAGAGTTAGCTGACGTTTGGGAGTCTGATTTATAGTGGTGGGACTCGTGTGAATTATCCTACTCGAGTAGAGGCTCTTGAACCCTCGATTTATTCGCGATTAAAATGAATGATTTTGGAAAAAAGTTCAGAAAAACTTTCTTCGGAAAGTTACAAACTTTCACTTCCGGTAGCAATGTTTTCAAGTGTTCTCGGCTCAACCTACCTTGAATACCTCCAACATACCCATCAAATTATTCAAATAGAATAACTCAATACACTTTATATGTTCTTGTTTTGCATTGAAAAGTAAATAATTTAGCAATTTACGCTAATTGGTTTGACCTCGTTAAATATTGCATTGCACATGCGCAACCGGATGTAATCAAACATAAAAACAAACACGAGAAAGCCTATCGTATTTGATTTATTATTTCAGTTAAGGTATCAAACTACAATGCTATATATTAAGGAAGGCATCATTGTTAAACATTGTACAGAAATGTTGTACATTGGATGTGTTTTTTTACGTAAATTGCGGTTGAAAGGTGGGTAAATCACATTTTCTTCATGATTTTTTTCATTTTTTTTTCAATTCGAGTCAGAATTTACCAATCGATGAATCGTATTTACAGGGTTTGGCGAGTAGTATTCGAGTCCACGAGTCAATCGTTGCTCCACTACTGATTTACCTTCTAAAGGTTAGAACCCGAATCTTAATGAAACCATATCACCTTTGTTGCGTCGATGATGATGCATAAACATAGCATTTGATAGAAATTAGTGTAAATGCTTTTCCGACTTTTTCATTTTTCATCAATGTTGACTTTCGGGAAGGCGTTGTATTATCACGAAATAACGCATTGACCCTTGAACTTATCTTTGTTGACGTGTCAACCAAGCATGTCTGGTGTGAAAATTAAAAGAATATTAAGCAATGTTCTACATCCGCCAAGCTAAGTGAAGTAGCCAATATAAAATTACCAATTTCGAGTGAAGTACGCAACGAACGAAACTGCGTGATCTACAGTCCCACTATTTGTCTGAACGAAATGCTACGTAGAAATATGAGCCGTCTGCTGTATTAGTCGATTAATAGAGTAAGACCTGTTGGTGATGCTTTATAATTTAGACCAAAACATTGAAGAACATACGAACCTGTAAATCGTGAAAACAACAAACAAATATTCGGTTTTCATATATGTTCGGTAATTTTTCGTATTGAAACTTCCGGAACTTAAAAGGAAATCATTCATTTTCTCGGTCCATGATTTACCTCTTGGATGTTGTGGCAAATGCTCCATGGTTGACGGAACAAAGGTGATATGGTTTCATTAAGATTCGGGTTCTAACCTTTAGAAGGTAAGTCAGACTCCCAAACGTCAGCTAACTCTTATATTTAGCATGTTAGCGACGAAGTCAGGCCTTGCAAAAAGTAGTAGCTTTCGCAGGAAGTAACTTCTGCACATGTCAATGTCCTATAGATCTAGTTGAAATAACTCAAAGATGGGTCTTATCCCATTCAATATTAAATAATAAATATAAGAAGTCATAATTTGAGGATCATCACAATCACGTGTACATCTAATTCTAACAAGGTGAGCTCAGGTGTGTCTTAGTGACATTTTAATCAAGAATCAGGAAACAGGTCATCAGGTACAAAATCAGGTGGTTTACATTTCATCTAGAATACTCAAATATTTCACAAATAAATAAACAGAATTTGTGATATATTGATAAAAATATACTTACTTAATCCGATCACATATGGTTGAGTTGATCGCTGGTTTCAATTACACATAATTTTATCCAAATAAGTTCAAATTTGTAAAACGTTTCAGCCATTTTGGATTCAAAACAAAGATGACGTCACGCGGACTAATTTACAATTTTAAGGAAAACAATATCCTTCGATGATGACAGGTATATAGTTTATAACTTATCAGTGTAAATATCAATTATCCTTATTAATGAAACATTTAACACTCCAGCAAATAGTCATTCCGTCCTGAAAAATGCTTACAAAAAGAACTATATTGAGCTTGTCGTTACTACTTTCTTAAAAGGTAATGCAATTACAAGCGACATCTATTTTAAAGTTATAAAGCGATTTTAAAGTTTCAACCCCCTAACCACCATTCTGTTTATATTTTATTAAAATTTAAAATACAATGAAATACATCTATTATATAGACCAGGTGTAAAAGGGTAGGAGGTCCTATCAAATTATGGTCCTACTCTCCATTGCTTTACTGTATATGGTGACCTAAATACAACTCTTTCCCTCATTATCTTATATACACAATCAGGGCCAGTAAGGGCCGTTAAGAAAGGGGACCATAATCCCTGGTTATTCAAATATATACTGAATTTGAGTTAATTGGCCCACTGGTCAAATTTCAGAGTAATAAGATAAGGTTTAAGAATGAGAGTAAAAATGTTTGGGGAATACTTTCAATATGCCAATGTTTTAAATATATGTTCTGGACCAATATAAAGATGACAGCACCATCAAAATCCAGTATAAATAAACGCAGATCGATTACTATCAGTATGCCATCTTTATTTAAAAATTATTTCTATCGATCTCAGCCTATTGTTTTTACAAGTTTAGCCTGTTAAATAAATAAATTTATACCTAAGAATGGGTTGACGAAAAAGACTGACCCCACCGACCAGCGACCAGCTGTTTCCACTAAAACAGGGTTTGAGGAAAATGTTTAAAAGACATATCACTGCACGGGAGTTCGGACCATGGGTACTCAATAGAAAGCCCATGAAAAAACTGACCATGGCATAATTATCAAATAAGTCGATTTTGAATTAACTTACACGTCAATCGTAGGAAACGTTTACCCATTTTGTTCTTTTCATAAGTTAAAATATTCTAACTTTTACTGAACTTCAACGTAGGCCTATATTTAATGAAAATTACGTATTTCTAATGAACATGATTTGTTATTGTTATACTGATTTTTGTCATATTGAATGTAATTTTAATCAGATTTTAATGTGACGTTTAACAACTGAAAAATCAAACATTTGTGCTAATCTTCAAAAATATTTCGACATGATTTGTTATGTTAGTGTATTTTTTTGTTATTACCATAATGAACACAATGTAATGTTGCGCGCGCTTTCTCATCATGATCCAAAGTGACTAATCTGAATGAAATTGATCTTCTATCATCTGAGACATCTGACATCTTAACGATTTTACTTTTTCACGTGCGCTTTAAATCGTGACTTAATCATTAACGTAATTATTATCATGAAGGTACTATAGTCATTATATTACTGACAGAATGTCGTACAGCGCACGAACTGTTATAATTTCCAATATATTCGAATATATAATAAAGAATATACAAAACTTTTAAAAATTGCGCTTATTAGCCTTTTGCTAATCATTGACACAGACATAGAACATTGCTTATCCAGTTATCACGTTTCAGTGATCGATAATATTCTTTGAAGTGATCAATGCATTGGGTCAATGCATCTGTGGCTCGGTCAACTTGACATTATGAGCCATATTTACAGAAATATATGAATTGACGTACATGTACATCTAGGTGTTACACAGTTGAAACTGTATACAGCCAAGTGAGGCCATGTTGGTGGTGCCCCAAAAGTGTAATGTACTAACCCATCTACATAATGCACGAAGGCGAAGAAAATGGAATGTTATAAAAACCCTTCGACCTTCGACCTGCACCTTCGACCTTCACCTTCGACTTACAGGGTGTCCAAAAAGAAAATATTATAGAAGCTATTTTTGCCGATCTCAGACCACGCAAGAGTCATATTGTAACAAAATTCTGGGTTTGTAGAAAAAAAACGGGTACCGGGTAGTAAATCCTCCATGCTGAGTTCAAACTTGGTACCCGGTCGAAAAAACCAAAAACCAAAAACATCATCTTAATCACACAGAATCTTAATTTGATAACATGAAAACGCTATCACCCCTGTATCTATAACTAGAGTACTGCAAACGTTGCTACAATTTAAGATCTTAATGATCTCACCTGTTAACCACAAAGCAAGTGTAATAAATAAATGAATAATAACGAGTACACAGCACTAAATCAAAAATGAAAAATTCAAAATTTTGGGGTTTGTAGAAAAAACCGGGTACCGTGTAGTAAATCCTCCATGCTGGGTTCAAACTTGGTTCCCGGTACCCGGTCGATAAAACCATTAGAAAATGTGAAAGATTTGTTTTGAATTTACAAAAATGTATGTAACTTCCTTCAAAATTGAGCTAGAAGCTTCAAATAAAAAGCATTTTAAGGCTCTTTCATTCCTCTATCATCATATTTTCATTGGTAATGTGGGGGAGGGGGGGGGGGTGCGATCGCACCATCGCACCCCTCCTGGCTACGCCTATAACATTGTAAGACGTAACAATTTACACTTCAGTGGACGTTTCGTCGAAAATTGGGATAACTTAAATTATGATTAATAATCAAAATCTTACACGTTGCATCATGTAAATTAACACACGTCACCTCTCTGCTAAAGTAACGATAGCTATTTACAGATTTAAATCATAATCAAAACAATTCACGTACCAACATACGAACTATTGAAAATAGAGTAAGATTGATTTGTCATGTTTTTCAAATCGTCTTACAATGTCATAGGCGTAGCCAGGAGGGGGTGCAATGGTGCGATCGCACCCCCCCCCCATAACCAGTGAAAATATGACCATGATGATAGGGGAAGAAAAGAGCCTTAAAATGCTTTTATTTGAAGCTTCTAGCTCAATTTTGAAGGAAGTTATATACATTTTTGTAAATCCAAAACAAATCTTACACGTTTTCTAATGATCTAATTATGTTATTTATTCGTATTTTTCGTTTTTTGGGTACCCGATTTTTTCAACCGGGTACCGGGTACCAAGTTTGAACCCAGCATGGAGGATTTACTACACGGTACCCGGTTTTTTCTACAAACCCCAAAATTTTGAATTTTTCATTTTTGATTTTGTGCTGTGTACTCGTTATTATTCATTTATTTATTACACTTGCTTTGTGGTTAACAGGTGAGATCATTAAGATCTTAAATTGTAGCAACGTTTGCAGTACTCTAGTTATAGATACAGGGGTGATAGCGTTTTCATGTTATCAAATTAAGATTCTGTGTGATTAAGATGATGTTGATCGGGTAGTCAATCGGGTAGTTTAAATGGAAGTTTCCCTTTTTAGAACTTACTTCCTGGTTTTGATTCGATTGAATCGAAGTAAAATTAGAGTAAGTAGCGATCAATTACTGTTCTATATATTGAGTTCCAATTATAGTCTTGTTGTGTGATCAATATTAAAACGGGATATGGCGTCAATAACTTGTTATTTAACTTTGAAATCTTGTCCGAAAAGTGATGACGTCATAAGAAAAGTCAAAGGTGCAGGTCGAAGGGTTTTTATAACTTTTTTTTGGCCCGCTTTTTGGACACCCTGTACGTCGAAGGTGAAGGTCGAAGGTGCAGGTCGAAGGTCGAAGGGTTTTTATAACATTCCGAAGAAAATGCTATATATGTCTAGATATTCAGCAAATGATTTAATGATACATGAATTTTCATTTTTACCACAGAGATGATGACCAAAAATTAAAGTGTTTGCCATTAAATATTAAATATTCAAAATCTAGTCAAAGTGGTCTCATATTTGAAATCGACATGTAAATGTACATCTAGAAATATGGATTCGAAAATTGTTCATCAACTTAATTTAATTTTTTTGAAACTGTGACTTCTAGTTCGGCGAGATTCCCCATAGACCCCATGTTATAAAATCACAAAGAGTGAAATATCCTTTCTTGTATTGGACAGATAACATTTTCTTTTACTGGACATATTTCAATTTGCATACCTTTATTAGATACATAAGGGTGATATGAAAATTGAACCACTCAAATAGATGCAATTTAAGGTAACGCTAAAGTTAATCAAAAGTACAAAAAATGGCAGCCATATTTTTTTGATAAAGTCACAAGATTTTGTGTATCTCTTTTCCTTATATGTGAATGCATTTCCTGACTAAAGAGACATGTCAAAGAAAAACTCCAATTGGAGGTGCATGGGTCCCTAAAACTAGCATGGAGACAGTGAAGTGAGGATAACTTTTTAAAATTTCAAGGAGTAGGATTGCAATGAAGACACATTTGTAAGACTCCATCTTACCTTACCAAGGAACATCAAAGGAGCATGAAAATGCGTGCTTCTTGCATTGTTAGAGTATAATAAAGCTCAAACCATTGTGAATTCTAAATATTTCATGTCCACCATTTTGTTTGCTGGGACTATTTCCTAGTCCAAAGTAATCTTCACCCATGTATCCTTTGTTCATCATTTATAAAGATAAACAAACAAACATGCCACTTGGTGAAGTCATGTTGAAGAATGTGAAATCACATGCGGATTGTGATTTCACATTAGAATTGTAATCCTTGTAAGAGTAAATGAACTTTTAAAGGTTTTTCAGCAACTAAAAAATCATTAGAATTTGAATAAATGTAAATAATGGTACAAATCAAAGTTATTTAGGTAGAAAATTACACATAGAATTCAAATATGCCATCAATTAGAAGAAAATGTTAGTCTTTAATGAATAAAAATGCAGATCTCCTAAAATCTCATTATGAACGAGACTTTGACGAGATTTCAAAGCTATATGGAAAAAGGACCATTGTGTATCTGAAATATGTGCCTTGCCTACTGTAAAGCATTGGGTTGTCCAGTCGACACGTGTGATTGGTATAGTCAGTGTCCAATGGATAAAATACGATGTCATCAAATAACCACAGTGATAACGTCAATACAAATTATTGAGTCAAAATCCTTTAATAGACATTTTACAATACAAAAAATGGCAAATCAATCAAAATTTTATCCCTGACGAATATTTGTCATTTATAGAACACAAACATCAATACTGGTTACCGATTGTGAGTTCAGTGAAAAACACATTCAATACTTCACTACCTGAATCAAGAGGCTAACTAAGGGGACAGAACACTTTGCTTGCCCCACAAACATTTTGGGGCCCAATTATTTTGGGCCCCTTTAATAATTTGGGCCTAATTTCTTAAAAATAGGCTCAAAATTAAAAATAATGGCCAGAAATGCTAGTTTGCTACCTAAACTGTCCAATTTACTATTCTAGTATATATGCGGGGAGCTTTTTTAGCCTCAGTTTGGGCCCAAAAAGCGGGAGAGGGTCGGGCCCATGTCCCCCCAGACCAGCCAGTACATAGCGACTCAAGTATATCTACTTCATTTGAGTTATGTTTTTCCAGTTTTCATTGGCTCATTAATTAAAATGTGAATGAATATTTAAACAAAATCAACATATTGATTAACTCTCGGTTGAGAATGTGAAGAAGGCCTGGAAAAAGCTCAGTTTATCTACATTTTCATTCCCGAATTCTGCTCATTTAGAGAATGACTTGGGCAGTAATTTGTTGGTAGACATATTGGAGAGGAGAGTAATTTACAAACGTGACCTTCAAGAAAACAATGATCATGTATCGAAAATCGTTGACTTTGTTTGATTCATGTTTTAAACATCAATATAACAACAATCGTAAAGAAAAGCACCCGGTGTTGCTATCGGACAGATAATCAATCACAAACACACCCATCAGATATGAGTCGAATGAATGACGGTTGGGCAAACTGCAAGCAATCAAAGAAACTCCCCAAAAAGGAGCAAAGAAGCAAACAGCGCTGGAGAACTGATGATTAAAATTTCATTATTTTGAAGAGAACTAGCGGTTTTAAAAACAACAATGTCTGAGGCATATGAGCATCAAAATGAAACATTACCAGCGAAGGGAATTTCCTTTATTGCATCCGAAAGAATACGACAAGATCTTACATTTTTGACCCCATTTGTTTTTTACGAAACATTTTTATCAGTCACCGGAGTCGTAGGAAATATACTCATTATTGGGACTTTCGTTGTTGTGAAGTCTATGCGCACTTTACCAAATGCATTTGTGTTTAGTCTAGCAATGGCGGATCTTATGGTCACCTTCATGTTACAGCCGTTCATGATGATCGGGGCACTTAAGGGTGAAAGGTTTGTCCTTATACAGACCCCCGGCCTCTGTACCGCTATTGCATATGTCTGTATTCAGAGTTGCCTTGCGTCGGCTTGGAACATCATGCTAATCAGTCTCAATAGGTACATATGTATATGTAAAAACTCGTGGTACTCAAAGATCTACTCGAAAAAATCAGTTACAGTTATGATCATGGCAGCCTGGTTTAGTGGCTTTGTGTGGAATATTTTCCTTTGGACTGGATGGAACAGTGTCAGCTTTGAAAGGAAACAATTCACGTGTTTGTACAACCGGCACGATGACTTCAGCTACATTGTTAGTATTGCCATATTTGCCGTTCTTATACCCGTCAGTGTAACAGCACTCGCATATCTTTTGATTTTTCTGAAGGTACGGAAATCCCAGAAGAGAATCCAGGCGTTCAATAAGAAAAAGGACACGAATCAGGGCACTAGTAGTGACATCAGACTGGCCCGCATGCTGTTTATAATGTTCGCAATTTATTGCATATTGTGTGGCCCTTATGCGTTTGTTTGTGTTTTTGATTGGAATGACAAACTCCCGCTTTTTTGGTATGCCATCTTTGGACACATGTTTCATACCAATAGCGCGGTGAATTTCATCATTTATGGCCTCACCAACAAGAGCTACAGAACCGGTTATAAACTATTCTCTAAATATGTACTTATCAAGGTTTCCTGTGGAGCATACAAGCCTAGACAAAATATAGAAAGTGACATAGACAAAAGTCAAATGACACAAACAGTTGCTATGACTGATTGAGTACAATTAAGTGACCAAATGTCAAATGACACAGTTGCTATGACAGACTGAGCATAATTACAAACTGTTTAATATATATTTGTGATATATGTGATAACACGGACTGGGTTTGGATCCTAAACTCTTTCAATACAACATGCCGGCCTAACCATCAACAAGGTACAGTGACACTTTAGGTGTACGGTGTCACTATTAACTGATTTTAATTTGAGGAATACATAAAGGAATTCATGTTTGATTTCGTGTGTATTCGATTTGGAAGACATTTACCTTTCTAATTACATTAAAAGATTTTTTTTTGTTAATCTACCCATGTAATTGGTCGGTTGGAAAATTGTGTTTTTTACACATTTCCTTTTATCGTTTTCTCCCTTGTCGTCTAAGAGTGCCGAATATTTTTATGAGACTATGTTTCTCTAAACTACAAAATTTAGGACGGTTGAAGGTTGAATAATATTCATGAATTTGGTATAATTAAAAAAATGAAAAGCGTACGTTGTCATCTCCAATGTACGTTGTCCCGGTAATTGTACAAAAGAAAAATGATTCGATCACTCGTTAGGTTGGCTTGGATACTGAACTCTTTTCGAAGAAAAATGGTTCAATCAACGTTGGAAAGATGGCCTCATTAAGGCCATTTGTATAACTATTTGCATCTCTCATGAAACATACAGTTTTATTTGAAAGGGTATCTTCAAAAAGGTACCTCCATTGGGCATTATGAAAATACTTGAAGTTAGTTTATTTTTGCTGAAGGGCAATATATAAGCTTATAACATACCTATGATGATGTATAGTGTAAACTGTTCACAAGACAGCAGGCCAATATAACTTTTGAAAAGCCCGCGCCCGCTAACTTTCTGATTGGTCAAGCGCTGGGACTACGTCATACATTAGGCCTAGGTCAAATTGACTCGTACATTCGTAAGATACAAACATGGGAATTGGGAATAAATCATCATTTCCGAACCATTGCTAGTCAATTAGATAAGAAAACGGTACTCTCTGACCAGACTAGATCATAATAGGTATGTTATGAATCGTTCATGTCACTATAGTTGCACATATGCCCTCGGTTCTCTAGCGGTTCTCAGTGATCAATGTCCCTCCCAAGGTCGGGCCATATATCACTGAAACCCTCGGGCATATATGCAACGATAGTGACATAACCTCTAATTAAGAGGCGACATGTGATTGATAGGGATACTATACATACTCCACCCATTATGACATTCTATTTTATTCTGACTCCACTCAATTTAATTCGGCTCTGTTTCCATCATGATAGACCATGCCATCTCAAATCTTCCCAGTCCTGTTTCAAGTGAAACAGAAAGATGCTATGAGTATCAGAATGCTCTGTTTCATATTTTACACTATTTTTCACTTGATCAAACTTTATTTTATTTTAATCCACTCTTTCTGTTTATCATCATTGACTTGTCATACTAGCTAGCTAGAATTGAACTTTACATAGAACGCTAGCACTTTGTACAAGATCATAAAGGTCAAGTACAATAAAGTGAGCATCTTAAACTTAAAAAGCGATGTTACATACACGTATTTTATAAATACCAACACACAGAATCTAAGTAAAGTATAGAAGCGTCAAATAGGAATTCAAAAACGGTCAATTTGGGAATGAAAATGGCAGCTTCGCAACAAAACTTGAAACCACATTTAGCTAAACATCGCAATATTAAATTCACGGTACCAATTCAGAAAACTACCTTTGACACTTTGAAGGACTACACAATACCAAGTTCTACATCTAATGGAGACGGACGTTTGACACAATTTGTGAACTATGTATCATCGAAGGTAAACGTAGAGAACAGATACACACCAGAACAGTTAAAGGAACACACTGAATTTGTTGAGAACTTTGTGAGAAACTTCTTTATAGATTTTGGAAATCATACTCCTGAATATTACTTCCTGTCATATAATACAATATTTGCATCCAACTGCATCGTTAGAAGAGGTAGTTCATATGAAGGGACTAAAATTATATCACCGAACGAGTACGATTATATTCCTATCTTTGCGTGGTCGGGTAATAAAGCAGTCATAGTGGAGGAGGTTGGGGAGAGGTGTGAGCTTGCAGGCCAGGGGTATGGTTTCATCAATATCAAACATGGTGATCTGCACAAGGAACTACCACCAAGGCACCTTGAAGAAAATCGATCTTGTGTCGGTAAGCCAAGTGGATCAACTGAGAGATCGTCACCACCCGGTACTATTCCCCATGGTTCAAGTAAACTGAGCAGAAACATTCTCATAACATTATGTGATGCCATTACATCCTATCTGAGTGAGAGTGAAAATTACAAGTATGTCGGTGAGAGAGATCATCACAAGGATCCAGAATCTCCATATCCGCAGGGGACTATCAGTCTGCATAAGTATAGACATGGTACTAGTATTTGGCTACGAATTGGCGCCCCAACCTGCACAACTGATATAGACCTCTCATTTGCAATAGAGGATGTGAATATGACCAAGGGATGGTGTGCTATGGTGGGTGATGGGAATGTGTACTGTGCCAGATGCGATGAGAGTCTTGGAACCACGCATTGGACAAGATCACTCATAGATCCAGGCCTCCAGGATGCTACGAACACATTATCAAGAAATCACCACCATTTATTTCTAACAGTAAAATACATAAATCACCTGATCAAAAAATCTCTCAATATAAAAACTAGTTCTTCTTCATACTCCTACAAAATGTTACTTCTCCAGCACCAGAGAGATTGTCAGAATGAGAATGTTGGACAGTGCCTGGAAGATGTTGTGAATCAATTTTTCACACATGAGAAACACTGCATTAGTACTCTTGAAATCAATGTATACACCTATAAACTGCTAAGGAAAGTCCCAGACATAGATTACCCCAAAAGGATGATACGACTTAAAATCAGTCCTCAGGAATGTGCTGTCCTACTATGGATTACACAGCATGTTAAACACACCATCAATACATCCTGGTGGGATATGTTGTTGCTGGAAGACCTTAAACCAGAAGATATCAACAAGAGTGATATGCTTTATTCATTGCTGCACATAGCGCAACAAGTCGATACAGGGACATTGATTGATGTAGAGTGGGTTCACGATGTTAACACGAAGACAGTAATTAGATAATTTGACTGAAGCAAAGTGTAAGATCCAGGCTGCACAACTCGGACCTCATAAAAGTACTTATAGTCCATTTGTCACCCCTATACATACTATAGTGAACCTATGAATTGTTAAAAACACGATGTTTTATGGTTAATTTATAATAACAAGGGTTTTCTGAAGTGATTTAACTGGGTTGGACAAAAAGTTACTTTGGGGAAAAAAGTATATCGGCTAATTAGGGAGGGGTGCATTGGCTTATCATGGCGTTGACTATTGACTTAGCGTCGGGATACCACCATGTACCTGGTATGTTACTATGGTGATAGATACAAAAATTTTCCCCAACGTTAATTTTTTGGCAACCCAGCTAAATCAATCCAATAAACCCTAATGATAGTATTTGCACAGAAAAACATCGTGTTTTTAAATATTCATACGTTAAGAAAATGACAAATGGACTATTACATGAAAGGTTCTAGAAAGGTTTACGAAAAACACCGACCGCCGACCACCGACCAGTCACTCTCCACAGTTGGGTACATGTGGTCGGTGGTCGGCTGACGGTCTTTTACATGAAGATGAAAAATTGCAAAATTAGAAGTAAAACTAAAACTGGGAATCCAATGACTATAGTACCTTTACTAGGTCATGATTTAAAAACGTATAATTAATAATTTCAAATCACCATGAAAACGTTACATCGTCGTGGTGTGTAATGTCATATTTTTAAGTGATGTTTCAGTTGTTAGAAGACCGATTTCATCCTGGTTAGTCACTTTGGATTATGATGAGAAAACGCACGTAACATTGCATTAAGATCATTCATATGAAACGCAATAACAAAAACACACATTGTCGATGTTCACGTCGTAACGTTATGTTTGATTTCTCAGTTGTTAAACGTCAACTGGTAAAAACTACATTTGATATGACAAAAAAACTTTCTAATGGTGTACTGAAATGGTAAGTCACTTTTAATCCCGATAAGAGAACGCATGTAACATTATAACGTGTTCAGAATTCAGTAGGCTATGACGATAACAAATCATTTTTGTTTCGAAATTGTTAGATTTCAGTAAAAAATTAGGATAGATTCCCGTAGAAACGATAGGTTGGTTAATGATAGGTTAGGACCTAAGGCAGGACAATTAATCGAGAGGAGACGGTCATGCCCAATTTGTTTGCTTGCCATTCGTTGCAAGGTACAAAATCGGTAAAAAACGTTGCCTAGTCCAACGATTGACATTCAAAATCAAATTATTAATATTTTAAGGCCACAAATATGTTCGGTCTTTTACATGATATGGTAGGTCTTTTACACAGTTTCTTCAAACCCTGTTTTGAGGCTACCAGCAGTGGAAAACACCGACAGGTCGGTGGGGTCGGTCTTTTTCGTAAACCCCTAGAAATATATTTAGAGTAATATTTACACGGTGTTATGGCATGACGGTTACGTCAAGGCGATTTGCAAAATTTTGCGGTAACGATAACAAAAAATGGCGGATGGGAAAAACAGCATGCCCTCTTTGACTTATATATGGATGGTTATAAAGACTGGGTCAAATCTGCCAGGTGTTACTAGAAGCAGAATATAAGCTGTAAATTTACTGACTGATATATTTAAGTTCATAATTTTTAGTCCATTCTCTTGTTTTCTCAGTATATGTGCCTCAGAGCCACTCAAACTATTAACTGTAAGTAAACTATGTATGAACAAGCCATAAAATGAAAAATCCAGAACAGGAACGTGGTGTATATTGTAAATATAAGGTTTTAAACGCAATGTCGTTAGACGACTACGTACGAATTCTATGGACGGTAACGTATATTGTATTAGTTGTACATTAGATATTTAGCAGACGGTTACATGCATGTACACCTTTCAAGTCAAGGTTGCTAGTTCTGATAGCCTTTTTCCATGTCATTGTTATAATGGGCAAGAAATGGAATATTGAATTGCTTATATTTTTGTTTTCAGGACTCGCAAGAGACGCTCTTGTTTGTTCTATGTTAGTTCACCTCTCTGGTTCAACTAATTCAATTTTAAAAAAAGAATTGTAGATACAGGTAGAGTCTCGATAAAGTAAATTGTTCTTTCTTAAGAAATGAATAAAGTGTTGAGATGAAAAAAATTATTTTTCCCCTGAAGTGTTATCTTTATGTTTTAGGCGTACCAGGAAAATCGTGTAAACAGAACAATGCAATTATTTTTTATTTAAGGGGGGGGGGGCTTCTGTTCACTATTGGTATCAGCAATGAGATGGAGTTGGCAATTCCACGCGTATGAGTGCAGTGCGGCGACCGTAACTCCGGGCCGTAACTACATAACGTTTGGTATTCCACGCATGCTTGTGATATCAGTACTGTGTCTCGTATCAGCAACTATACATGAATTTGCCTATAACACATATACGTGTGGTATCACTTCCTACACAAGTTCACTATTCTACTATTTTACGTAATATCATCGGTACATTGCCTAGTGTAATATAGTATTGATAAACAACTTCAACGCAATAATCCAGTATATCACTGTGGTATATGCTTCATCAATAATATAATCTGTTCAAACAATTCATTAGGTATAGAAGTTGTTTCTGCCAGATCCCGAGACATGGCATGACAAAATGTCACCACCTAGTTTCTGAAATCTGAAATCTAAAGTCAAATTTGAACTTCTTATAACTGAAAAAATGTTTTTTTGAAATAAGTTGAAAAAAAAACTTTCGACCTTTTTTTACCGTGAGAAGGTCATAGTAAATCTAAAGTCAGATTTTGGCTCCTGAGAACTTGTGGATGTTTTGGAAAACAAACTGATCAATTTGAAGCAAGTTGAAAAAGGCCTTTTCAACCTTTTTTTGAGATGGTCATTGAAGGTCAAATCTAAAATCTAAACTTGTATACGATTTTGAAAAAAGTCGTTCTCAACAGTATTTGTTAAGTTATTGAAAGTTGTTATATTTTTTACAGACGCCATCCGCCAACCATCAATCACTAAACGCCGCCCACCAACCGCTGTCACAAAACATAACAATATGTCACCACCTTCTTGGTGGTGACATAATAAATCACGAAGTGTCATTAAACCTAATAGACTTTAGGTTCCTATTATCAACATAACGTACCTGCAAACGCATATCCTATAGGCAAAATTACAGTATTCCAAATAGGTGACGGTGTATGATTTCACAACATGTAAACGACAGAAATTACAAAAACAACGAAATCAACATCTAAAATGCAATGTTTACCATCGCAAACAGTTCTGCATGGGAAAATAACGTGACATATAGTATAGTAACATGAATTCATGTGACCATAATATGGGACAGGTACATATGAATTAAATAAAATGGAAACGTTGATGTCCGTAATGTTCGTTGACTTATAATCCACAGGGCGGTCTTAAACCTAAAACATTTCTTTCATTTTCTTTATAATGTGTTTTTCAACTAAAATGTATCAATTCGTACTGATGCTTACTCTAGCCAAAACGGTAATGTCTGCCTGAGGAAGGTTACGATACCTGCAATGGTAACTACATGTACAAAGTCACCTTAACCTGAATGTGTTCTCTGGACTTTGAACACTTTATTTGAAACTATACTATGATAAAGCTCAAGTAATACGTGGTTAAGAATTCTGAACATGTTTGGAGACCTTAAACAGGTAGGCCTACGAGGTTTAATATTAATTTATGTTATCAAATATATGTTAGTAATAGTGTAGTCGTTGAAACTGTGTTTGAAACTTTACGAAATGTGATTGAAATATTTTGTAGGCCCACGGTGTCTTCACGCTGAGAAAATGATACGAAAGCATAGGTTCACCGGTGGAAGAGGAGAGTTTGAAGTTAACCCAGCTGAAGAGAAAATAAGCCTTGCATCAAGTGCACTGCTGGCAGATGGTGGTCCTCGGAATTTGTTTCTCGAATTGCCTAAAAATGCAAAGTTAAACGATGCGTGGAGTGATGCTTTAAACGCCCAAATGGATTACCCATCATGTCTTGGTGAAAATGAAGGATACGCCATTACAGCATATACATCCGATGAATGTTTTGAGGAGTTCAACGCCGACACTCGATCGCACGTTACTAACCTAATGACGGGTGGTGCCATGGAATTCCACGCTATGGCCTATAGGTGGAAAGGTCTGTACCATCTTCTTAGAAATGGTTTAAAAAATCTTAACTCATCCACGCCAATTGACGCTTATAGGGGGATGGACTTTAATCCAGCCGAAAAATTAAAAAAGAAAGACGCATTGTATTTTAAACAATTTACGTCAACAACCACCAACAAATCAACAGCAGCAAAATTTGGAAAAATCCTGTTTGCCATCAAAACCTATCGAAGTGCGCCCATTGATTCATTATCCTTTTTTTCGGGTGAAGACGAAGTTCTGATTCCCCCAAATGAAATATTCGTTATAACCGATATTTCTGAAACTCCTCGTCTCACATACACTCTTATATCGGTAGATGATCCGATGGTCCCCAATTTGTATCAGAAAGTGGCGGACGAACATCTTTAAAACCACCACACCTCTTGCTGCCAGAGGCTGTCAAAAAACCAAGAATTTCGACCAGAACAACTACTAGAACGGCATTTCCCGATGACCTTTGCATGAAAATAAATTGTATTGTGTGAATTTTGTATTAATATGCAGTTTTAAAAGGAACTTAGCAACAATCATTCATTGATTGGACATGTTAACACAATGAGTACAAGAAAGGATTTAAGATCTACGTATATAAACCCATCCTTGGTTCAAGGGTATTTCACTTCTTTCCAAATTCTGAATTTAAGCATAAATATGAGGTCCTTTGAAGAAGGATGATATAAACCTAGAAGTTGATAACACAAGAAAATAAAAATTCAAAGATCACAAGATCAAAATCCAAAAATTGGCGGCAAGGGGAAAGAAGCTGATGATATTTCAAACCTTAAAAGAAGTATTCTCAGAGAATATAAATTCAACAAATAACTGGGTTCCACACGCAGTCCAAATATGTGGACGGGGTAGGGTAGTCAACTTTTCGAAGGGAAGTGTTTTTCTGGCGTCCATTTTCGTCATGATAGACGAGATGGTAATAGCAAATATATGTATTGATTTCACCTACTATATTTTTAATTTTGGTGGTTTGAATTGACATCAAAATATTTTACGATATGTATATCACAATACTCGATTCAACACTCAGAATGGTACTATTTGACTTCATTTGCACCAACATATTGATTCTTTTTAAACACCTTTCAAGATAATTATCCTGGTTTGAACATGCTGTTTAAACGGAAATAATTGATGAACATTTGCGATGATACCCCTAACAAAATCCGAAAATGTTTCCTTTTGCATTTCAAAAAGTATTTATTGCCTCAATTGTACCCGGTCGTTCAATAAGTTCACGGAAAAATGCTCTCATTTCAAAGATTTTAGATATTTTCTCATGAAATCTGGACACAATGTATAAAAATACTTTCTGATAGATTCTTAAAATATCAGCATCTATAATTTGATTGGTCAAAAGTAAGGGTTACTATGGTAACTTGACTTTTGGGTAGGCGGGGCACTTTTTACGTCACATTATTCATTAGAAAAACAACAGAATAGTAGGCAATTTATGAGTATATCACATGAATTTCTTCCCCCCTTTCTACTTGTACATAATATTACTTAATGCAATAGTCACAACTATTGTTCCATAAGTTTTTAGAAATATTCTCCCTCATGTTTAATGCACAGTTGCTTGCATTCAACCCATTGACGATGCAGTGCTCTGAAGCCATCTGGAAAACTTGTTTGAAAGGCAATCTGGACTGCAGTCGAAAGTTGTTTCATTGTTCCATAGATAGCAGGATTTCAGAAATGTTCATGAAAACAATGAACATCAATTTCCCCTCAGAACATTTGTAATTCAAATAAGAACAAACAAGAAATAGGGATCCTTCATTTGTACATATTGATAGATTTTCTGTAATGGTAAATTGTGTGACGTAAAAAGTGCCCGCCTACCCAAAAGTCAAGTTACCATAGTAACCCTTATTTTTGACCAATCAAATAAGAGATGCTGATATTATAAGAATCAATCAGAAAGTATTTTTTGTACATTGTGTGAAAATTTCATCAGAAAATATCAAAAATCTTTGAAATGAGAGCATTTTTCCGGGAACTTATTGAACGACCTGGTATTTCGAATTTAAGTTTTTCTACTTTCAATATTTCAAAAATTTATTGTAAAAATGTCTAAATACAATACTATAAAGCGAATTATACAATACCGACAAGAGAAACCCACAATGGTTTCAACTCTCAACTCTTTATTATCTTATTTAATTTTGTGGTGATCTGTCAGTCGTCAATTTGTATTTAGTCCATTAATTACGCATAGGGTCAACTGCATATGGAACAGAGTTAAGTCGAGTCTATAAAGACTTTGACTCACAGGGTTAGCATCTTACTTTACCATAAAAGGTCCATTAAGCCCTTTGATAGGACGAGGCGATGCCTCAAAAAAGGTTAACGCCAACTGATAGACCAAATGTCTGCATTGGGTTTTTCATTTTTGGTATTTTAGTGAGAATAGAAATTGTATGGAGATGGATCTGATCAATATGCTGTAATCATTAGTCTACATGATCAATTTGTTGTTGTGTTCCTAAATGGTAAACGTGATTTAAATTCATTTAAACGTACATCACGTTTATTTGGTCATCATGACCTTATTGATTGTATTTACCAAACGTGACCATGACATGGTCAACAAAACGGCAACGGTCACCAGTTCGTATCCAGACGAAAATGTTTTCGAGGACGTAAATGATGAGTCTTTCATGTTCAAATACCACGGTTGGATTCAGCCTGTCTTGGTAATTGTGTGTGCCATTTGACTTTTGTCTATGTCACTTTCTACATTTTGTGTAGGATTGTATGTCCCACAGGAAATCTTGGTGAGTATATACTTAGAGAATAGTTTATAACCGGTTCTGTAGCTCTTGTTGGTGAGGCCATAAATGATGAAATTCACTGCGCTATTGCTGTGAAACATGTGTCCAAAGATAGCATACCAAAAAAGCGGGAGTTTGTCATTCCAATCAAAAACACTGACAAACGCATAAGGTCCACACAATATGCAATAAATAACGAACATTATAAACAGCATGCGGGCCAGTCTGATGTCACTACTGGTGCGTTGATTCTTGTCCTTTTTCTTATTGAACGCCTGGATTCTCCTCCGGGATTTCCGTACCTTCAAAAAAATCAAAAGATACGCGAGTGCTGTTACACTGACGGGTATAAGAACGGCAAATATGGCAATACTAACAATGTAGCTGAAGTCATCGTGCCGGTTGTACAAACACGTGAATTGCTTCCTTTCAAAGCTGACACTGTTCCATCCTGTCCACAGGAAAATATTCCACACAAAGCCACCAAACCAGGCTGCCATGATCATAACTGCAACTGATTTTCTCGAGTAGATCTTTGAGTACCACGAGTTTTTACAGATACAAATGTACCTATTGAGACTGATCAGCATGATGTTCCAAGCCGACGCAAGGCAACTCTGAATACAGACATATGCGATAACGGTACAGAGACCAGGGGTCTGTATAAGGACAAACCTTTCACCCTTAAGTGCCCCGATCATCATGAACGGCTGTAACATGAAGGTGACCATAAGGTCCGCCAATGCTAGACTAAACACAAAAGCATTTGGTAAAGTGCGCATAGACTTCACAATAACGAAAGTCCCAATAATGAGTATATTTCCTACGACTCCGGTGACTGATAAAAATGTTTCGTAAAACACAAATGGCGTTAGGAATTTAAGATCTTGCCGTATCCCCTCAGATTCAACAAAGGAAATTCCCTTATTTAGAACCATTTCATTTAAATACGCCATTTTTTCTTTAGATGGATCAGTCGTTGTGTTTGACTTTCAATTTCTTTTAGTAATAAATCAATTTTGACTCTCCTTTTATTATTCTACAATCTGTTATTTTTTAAAAAATATTCTCCTTTTACAAGCGCAGTGAATCATTTCGACTTGTACTTGACATCTACTTTGCAATTGTAGAATTGTTTGCAGTATCCAACGCCATCGTTAATTTACTTATGTTTAACAGACATATTATCGATAGTGATGTTCCGAACTATTTATAACGTATTGCCAATGCAGTCATCACATCTGATCGCTATAATATATAGCCTACACTCCTCTTCATAATTTGAAAACCCTAATTCTAATATTGTTTTTAAAATGACAAGGCTTGCAAAATATATTGGAACATATTTCAACTGATTATTTTGAGAAACTAAGATAGCAGAGTTTGTGACCTAGTTTGAGGACCTTTGACCTTGAACATTTTACTTGTTCAGAGCTCAGTAGGTCTTTTGTCATTAAGGTGACCAAAATTTACATCCAAGTAATCAATTTGAAAAATCAACCTTTTTTACCTTTCGATGGTCACTGAAGGTCAAATCTCAAAACCAAGGTCAGATTTGAACTCCTGGCAACTTGTAGACGATTTTCCCCCAAAAATTAGGTCAAATTGAAGCAAGTTGAAAAATATTTATTTAATATACTTATTTTTACTGGGTTTTGACGTCAAATATCTCAAAAACAGTCAAAATTTGATGCTGACATATATTGAGCAATATGTTAGGAATGCTTAAATCTAGTCATGATGAAATGAAGTATAGGGACAAACTTTGAGAAACTTGTCAATCACAAAACCTGCCATTGACGATATACATGAGAAAGTTCCCTGAAAATGACGAAGACCTACTTTTTGTCAAATTTTATAGAGTAAACACCAAAAACTGTGTGAGCCAAAAATGTATTGATCCATCGTTTCAAATTTGTGAATTATCCCAAAATGTTCCTGATTGGACTCTAAGAAGGGTATATGGGGAATACGATAACGCTCGTCCAGGTATTCCTAGATTGGTGATCTTAAACCTAATATGTACCAAGTGGCCACATAAAAACATCTCGTTTTTGTTATTCTCTACATAGTAATGGCACACTAAAATGCTATTTTCCAATCAAACATGTAAATATCATATAAATTACATAGATA